ATTATGGCCAATGATGGGCTTATACCCGCAGCTTAAATCAGCTGAGTCAGACTTTTGGTGCCTTGACCTAACTAAGCCTAACCAAACAGTGAACAAAGACAAAGCTGAAGTGTAAGCATGATGGTCTGACTTGGACAAGCCCCGGTCTTCTGGGTAAGATCTTATGGGAGATCTTACCAGCCTTCTGACACTGACTTTGTGGCTCTTTTAAGCTGGAAGCATTGCCTACTAAGCCAAAGTCTTACCTTTCTGGGGGACAGTAGCTTTTTTTTTTTTTTTTTTTTTTGAAATGTAAATGTAGATGGAGTTTAATTGTATATGAATGAGATGTTTGTGAGATTGGGTTGGTCATGCATGTATCAAGTATTTAAAACACCATTTGATAGAACCTTGTGAATGCTTTATTAACATATACTATTGTTAAATGTTCCCTCAGCTGCCAGGACAAAGTCATAACTTGTTCACCAAAGCCAGAAGATCTCACAAATGTGCACTCTCCTTGAAAATGTAATCCTTCAGCTGTTGCGGGCATGACTGGATGATGGAATATGAAAGAGGTATCATGACTTCCAGCAGCTGATGGATGCTCTAAAAGTTTTCATTTGGCTCAGAATCAGAACTGTTTCTGCTAAAAAAAAAAAAATCCCATGGAAACCATAAACCAGTGGAATGATACAGCTTTGCGCAATACCCAGGCTGCCATAACCATGAGCACTTTTAATAAAGTGTCACGTACCAAACTGAAATCCATCAGCCGTAATCACTGACAGAGGCGCATTTTTGTGTCTCGTGCACTATGTTAAATGAGAGTTCTGTTGCTCATACTTGAAATGCACTACTCCCTCCTATTTGAGTAGTATTAAAGAAAAAATATATACAGGGTCCAGCTATTTCAGGAAATAGTTAAAGATTCTTTTGAAAAACAAAACTGTTGGTTTTGGTCTTCTCATGGGATTATTTATTACAAATATTCTGCATTCTTCTTAGTGTCACTGGTGTTGCTGTCTTGCTAGAAAATATGATTAATCTAAAAATTTAAAAAAAAATAAATGGGGAAAAATATAAATGGAAAATGTCTCCGGATCTCAGTTCGTACTTCAAAGAGTGTAATGTTATCAAAAGCGATTAGAAATCATGGTCAAAACTATAAAAGTAAAAATCCTATTTCTAACAGAACAATCCTCATATTGAACTAATCCAGTCTCAACAGTATCATGACAGACCAAATGTTCATGTGCTGGATACATAGTTTCGAGAAATCAGTATGTACTTGTGTGTGAATGAAGACTTTATCTGTACAGATAACCCAATAAAGCTGCCAGACTGTCATGCACCCCTGCTCACATATTGTTCACAGCCACGTAGCAGCAACCTTGTGATAGCGAGCCACACGTTGTATTTATGTTGTCTGACCCAGCATTGGAACACTGGAGCACTGATGGATGCTGGGAGACAGGCGTGCTGGGATCTATTAAAAGGTTCTGAGTCAGTGTGTTAAAGGTTGGTTATGACCATTAAACACTAGTAAACCTCAAAATCACGGCTGTCATAAAACACCCCAGCTGAATGTGAGTGGTACAAACGGCCTGGTTTGAATTTTACCAAGCTGACAGCCTGTGTGTGAGAGAGTGAATGTGAGAGAATTTATAATGTGCAGTGGTGTTTTTCAAAGTGAAGGCACACTAGTAAAATAGCATATATTCGTTTTTTGACTGTATTGCCTTTTTATTAGTCATATCTCATTTATTGATCACTGTAGTGAGGTCATCACTAAATAAACATCATGTAATTGCATTTTAATTTTGCTTTTGCTACACCTCTAATGACAAAATGATGAATTAACCCACAGCTAAACTATTAAAGCTGCAGAAAGTGGCAGCGTGAAATGGAGCTCCATGACCTAACAAGACTGGCAGTACTGTAAAATAGAGAGATTTAGTGGAATAAATTAATGCTTCTTATTAATTTAATGTAAATTTTAAAATCGCGTTGACCTTAAGGAAATTTAAAAACACAAAAAGGAAACAGGGGCCAAAATGGCACTTAATGCTCAGATTTTGGCAAATAACTTTTCGAAAACTCTTTTGTCCAAATGTGCTGGAATGGCCAGAATTTTAATTTACCTTTTTTAGCAAGTGAGGTTGCAATTGTCTACTCCACCTGAACTGCTGCAATATTCTTGTGGAAAATGACGATCACACTGCAGGGTGCCAATTGTACCCACGGTTGCCAATCTCTGCCTAAGACCACTCTGGCCATTGTAGCGATTTTGATTTAAAAAACAAACAAAAAAAAAGATTTCAGCTGTGAGGTGGTCATGCCAAAGGAAGAAAAGCAACTCTGAGTGTATATATATATATACAGGCTATATATACAGTCGTGACTTGATAATCTAACACTAAATGTAATACCTTCTTTTATGTATACAACAAGGCTGTCAAATTGTCAAGGTGGAGGTCAAAATACAAGGAGGGCTTGATGGTTGAAGTGTAATTTGTTGTTAATATTTGTTGTTTACAGTTGTTATAATAAACTATCTATTCAGATTTATATGAAACAAAATAAACTTGTGAGATGCAATTTTGTAGTATAACTGCAGGATATATAGGGTCATAGAATTGTTCACGTGTCAAAACATGTCATATTTTTGAATACTCCAAAGAACTCCAAAGCACCAAAACCTATCCTTCCTGTGTTCCACACATGTAGAGTTGCTTACTAACAAACTGATGCAAACTGACTTAATTAGTTGGGTAAACTCACTCAGTGAGAGGGACTAGTATATTGCTAGAACACTACCATCGCTGGATTTCCCGCCTAACTGACCGGTGTGCACGGTCCCTTCGGGTCACATCAAAGGTAAGTAAATCTGTCAGACTGTTAAGTCAGATAATACGCCGTCATCCTTATTTGTGACATAAAATGTCATGTTGGAGTCAGAATCCAAGGCTGTTGGTATGTTAAGGCTACTTTTTATGGGTTCTGTTCGTTTTTCCTAAAATCCTGTCGATAGCAAGGTTTTTGGATTGTTAAGGGTCGGAATATCAAGTCACGACTATATATATATACACACACACACACACACACACACACATTAGGTTCATTGAACTTGTTTCCTCCAATTAGGCTAACTAACCCTGCAGGGGTTCAGTTAAGTCACAGCAGCAGGGGACCTTTTCTAAGTTTAATTAATTTAAATTAATTTAACAGGATTGGTGTTTTTCATAGCCAGAACCTCTGCAAGTGGTCTTAAGATAATTTTGAGAAGTTGGGAGATGATTAGCAGGAGAGAAAAGCATTAAAAAAAACATTTCTGCTCAGTAAAGATAAGCTTGTCAATAACTGAATAACATTGCATTTTTTTCATAAATCTCAGTGATAAGGGGTTCACAAGCAAAATAGCTTTAATTTAATTGGGTCAGTAGTTCAAGAAATTGGGGACCAACATACAATGTCTGCTGAATATTCTCACGAATTGGAACAATTATTGACAATGTGCATGATCAAATTACTATTAAATCAAATGAGAAATCAAATTTGTCGCACTTGAAGAAGCGGAGTCAAAGTCAGAAAGTGGAAAATACAAAAGTTTTCTGATGACCTGAACATTAAACTAGTCTTTTGTACAGCAGGTCTCTAAACTTAGAGTGATCCAAGTTGAAAAAAGCTGGAATACACATTTAAAGCACAATATCTGATTAAAGATTAAGAAAATAAGAATTCCATCCCACCTTTCAGTATTTTCTGATACTGCAAATGCAGTGTAGTCAAATATAATATGTCCTACTTAGCAACTTTGCACAAGTTTAAAAAAAAATAACACATTGTGGGTAACCGGTAAAAGTTTCTTGTCGTCCTTCATTTTCACGCCTACCCACAGGCATTTACTTTAGCTTCAGGTGCACATTAACAGTGAAGGTCATACAAAACAGTATGGGCACTGAAACAGTCAGCTGGATTTATTACAGACTCACAGGACTCTGCTACTAAACCCCCACCTACCCAGGCCCACATCCCCTACCCCCTCTCCTAGACACACACATCTAGACCCTCTTCCCTCGAACTTTTCTCGTTTAGAAACATACGTCTCCATTTCACCGACCTGGCTTTGTTTTCATAGCAAACCTTAGAGGCCCTCTTCCTCCACACCGACCTCAACAACTTTCCCTACTTCCTCATCCCAATCTGAGACTTATTAGCATGGAGGAGAGCATTGTTGTTTTTTTTTTTTTTATGTAGCTGCAGCCCCTTTGTGAAGGAACAGGTATCCTCTTTCTGGCCTAGGGTTGTGTTGTTAGTGTAGAATGCCAAATATGTGGAAAAACAAAGCTTTTTTTTTCATATATTAACCTCAAGCTCACTCAAAGGAGGTTTTACTTGGTGATCAGCAGTTTCACACACGTACATTAAAATTATTATGTAAGAAAACATCAGGCAATGGAGTAAAGGACATGCACACATTTGAGCAACCTACTGGTCTAAGTCCTAGTGAATTAAAAGGTGAAAGAAATTGTTCACAAATGGAAATAAAGTTCAAGACTAGAGAAGAGGGGAGAGAAAATAATTGATGAATAGTTGAAAAGATTGCATCTGTTCAAGTCATTATCCCAACTCAAATGAGTTATTAGCGATAAGAAAACTGTGCCACAATTTCATGCATCTTTGTGTGTGTGTGTGTGTGTGTGTGTGTGTGTGTGTGTGTGCAGGCAAATGGCAGGGTACCAAACTATGTCGATGAACAGGGCTTATGAAAACCATATGACATGCTCTGAAAAAGAAAGAAATGCACAGTTCCCTGCTCCTCCCCCCACTCTGACACACATTCACATATTGCCCCCCTCCCCTTCCAAAAACATACAATTCTTTCCCTCAACTCCCTCCCTCTCTCCTTTTCTGTCCACCCTCCTCCTTGCTATACGTCCCTCCTTCCAACCTCCCCCCCCACCTTCTCTTTTCTCTCCTCCCTCCCTGCTCTCTGAAATCTTTGGATAATCTGCATGCACTCAACTCCAGCACAGATCTGCTTCAGCAGGGAGGAGTGAAGAGCACTGACAAGACAGTGATATATATATATTTATATATATATTTATATATATAGAAACACAGCTCAAATGAAGGGGAAAAAGTTCAGATAGGCAACAGAAACAGGCCAAGAAAGAAGTTATACTTAAAAGAAACTTTCAAAGACAAGAAGATATAAGTGTGGAGAAAGGCAGGGTTAGAGACAAGCAGAGAGTGGAGAGATATATTTCGTTCTAAAAAAGAATGGGCTCCCTGGTGAGGAGTGCTGTTGCTGTTCTCTTAACCTCCCTGCTGGCTTTACTCTCTGGATTTTCTGCAGTCTTGGGCCAGGACCTGAGAGAGAGGGATGTGCTATGTAATGCAGACGGCTGCTTTGTGGTTTACCTTCAACGTAAAACCTTCCTGGACTCATGGAGGGCCTGCAAAGAGAAAGGTGGGAACCTAGCGACCATCAAATCTATGGAGGAGGCCACCGCAATTGCCACTCTCTTCTCCACTCTGGACTTGCGGCACTCGCGTACCAAGATCCAAGTATGGATTGGCCTGCAGCGCCAGCCTCGCCAGTGTACTACCACACGCCCACTTCGGGGGTTTTCTTGGACTACTGGTGACCAGGACACAGAGTATACCAACTGGCAGAAAGAGGACTCGCCTAGTATGTGTTCAGTGCCTCGCTGTGTGGTTATGGGCTACAGCACTCAAGAACAGAACAATAACTTCAAGTGGCTTGATGGTTCCTGCTCAGTCCCTGTAGATGGGTATCTGTGCCATTATGCTTACAAAGGAATGTGTCCGTCCTTGTGGAGTGAAGGGGGAGGGAATGCCCTCTACACAACACCATTTAACCTTCTCAGCACGCTGCTAACCCATGTACCCTTTGGATCTGTTGCCACTGTACCCTGCCCCACAGGTGCCAAGGAGGAACAGTCTGTTTTGTGTATGCTAAGAGAAGATGGCTCAGTGGGGTGGTCAAGAGAACCCCCCCTTTGCTCTGATCCCTCCATATCACACAACTGGTGTGACCAGGATAACGGTGGATGTGAGCATTTCTGCAGGCCAGCTGGTGGTCACTTTTATTGTGAATGTGCTGATGGATATCAACTAGGAGATGATGGCCAAAGCTGTGAGCTATCTGATGTTTGTCAAGGGGCCCCCTGCGAGTTTGAATGCCTGCCCCTTTCCGATGGTTACCGTTGTGCCTGTCCTGATGGATACATGCTTGCACCTGATGAACGTGGCTGTCTAGATGTAGATGAGTGCCTCCAGAGTCCTTGTGAGCAGCTCTGTGAAAATGCTCCTGGGACATTTGAATGTCGATGTCGGGAGGGTTATCATCCAGATCAAGCGGGTGGCTGTGAGGATATCGATGAGTGTATGAATGACCCATGTGAACATGCTTGTGAGAACACTGTCGGCTCTCACATCTGCCACTGTCATCTTGGATATTCCCAAGTGCATGAGGACCCCAGCCAGTGCCAAGATATTGATGAGTGCCAGATCCCTGGGACCTGCCAGCAGATGTGTGTGAATTATGATGGTGGATTTGAGTGCTACTGCGAGGAAGGCTATGAACTCATGTCTAATCAGTACTCTTGTCAAAAGAGGGGAGGAGGAGACAGTCAATCTGCTGTCACCCCTCCATTTCCTTGGGTCACTCACCATCCTGGACCTGTATGGGACCCCATGGACTATGACTGGAACACGGAGCAAAGCCACACTGGCTGGCCTACAGGGGAGGAGCAATCTCTGGACTGGCTGACCGATCCACCCAGAGATTTGAATTCTGATGTAATTTGGGTCACCAGTGCCCCACAGGAGGAAGTGCCCTTTGATTCAGCAGTGGACCCTCTGACACAAGGAAAGGACAAAGATGAGGAAGACATAGATGGAGTTGACTGGTTAGAGTGGGAACAGAATTCTCAGTCTCTGTCAACAACCACCTACACAAAGCTTCCACCCACCACCAGTACCAGCACTACTCCAGACTGGTACACAGACGATGAGGAGGAAACTACTACAGCTCTTCCCTCCCTTTCCACTTCTACAATCTCTGAAGGTGCCTGGCATTGGTGGGCCGGGCATGTTACTTCCAGCCAGAATCCAGGAAATCCAGAGGATTCAGTCACAGACCACAACATGCCTACAGATTCCAGCGACCACAATAAGCCAGAAGAAGAGCAACAGTACCCCACTAGAGAGAGCTCTAAATTCCCAAAGGAGGATTTAGGGGAGGAGGAAAAAGACTATGTGGAAATCACACACTCTCGAGGTCTTGTTGTTCCCACCCAGTTTATTGCTTCCCAGCCACCACCGAGCAAAGGTGAAGGGAGTGGTGACCCCCTGGATTCTGTCCAGGAAGACCGGGGGCAGAAACAGAGCAGCACCTGGCTGCTGGTGGGCCTTCTTGTGCCCATCTGCATCTTTATCGTGGTGATGGTGGCATTTGGTATTGTTTACTGTACCCGCTGTGCTGTTCAGCCACGCAACAAGAATGCCACTGACTGCTACCATTGGATCTCTGGGGCTCATGATAAACAGGGGGCTCCTAACCCCTCAGCTGGGGTCAAGACCCATGTTTAAACAGAGAAGAGAGAGACTGACATAAACATATACAAACTCTGTTTTAGAAAGCAAGAGTGAATAATGATCAGGTAACAAGCAAGTAAAATGTTTTACCCTCTCCTTTTGGGAGCTCCCGACTCTTGGAGCATTTTTGAATAGCTGTTATCAACAGATAGAGGTAAGGAAGAGACACTGGAAACCACTGACCTTGTAAGGAATGGGGTTTCTTTGTGGTATAAACTGCTTTGATGTTACATACACTGACCACACAGCACAATATCTGTTTGCTTCATGATTGCACTAGATTACATAGGTTGAAAATATTCCAGTCTTCATTAGTAATGTCAAACATATTTGCTAATTATTGAGAATAATGTGTGTCATTAATTAATTTCAGCCTTTTTAAAATCATTGTACTGATGGAAAAGAAATCTGCAATTTTGAGGTAAACTTGACTATGAGGTCTTTTTCAAGCAAAATCTTCATGCTCACTTCACTTCAATAGCATATCACTGTACATAACTGTTCCTGTTGACTGTGTTAAAGGGATTTGGAGGCGTGGTTGGTTCTCATCAACACTGGGCGAAAGGAGACTGTAAGCAAATATCCCTTCAAGAGAAAAAAGAGATTATGCAATTCCCATGATAATGCTGGGCAAACAATCATTGAAAATCACTGTGTTGGAGCAGAATTATTAATAAGAGACCAAAACCTTCTTTGTATATAGTGGTTGTTTTGTATTTATGTTTCTTTTATACTTGCCACTAGTCATTTGCTTTTAGAAAACCTAACAGTTATAATAATTCAATGACAAAGCCTTTTTATGGACCCCATAAACCCAGTGATATGCAGAGGAATGTCTGCCTGCACATGGAATCTTTCCCCCCACCCATGTCCAGTTTAAGAGCATTACTCCTGTCTTTTCTTTTTCTTTTTTTCTTTTTTGAAAAGAGGTTAAAGTGCAGATGTTCACACAGCATAGGGAATAGTTGTAGAGGATGGTGCTTGACATTGACCTTGTTTGTAAGTGGCCATCAGTCACTACTAGGAACCGTAATTCACTATCCCACTCCAGAAATGTTTTATGGCTTTGTTGGATCAAATCCAGCTGTGAACAGACTGTTGCCTTTGCAGATGTATCTTCAAATATTTAGCAACTTAAAAAGGCAGTCAAAAGAGTAGTCTCAAAGATTTCAGATCACAGATTGAAAATCATAAATAACAATAACACATTAACTGTAAGATGTGCTAACAAAGAAAACACAAATAAGCAACTTCATAGATAAATGGCTGGGGAAACAAGTGGCATTTCAAATTTAAACATGAAATATTTGATTTTTTTTTTAATAGACTGTGAACTATTGGAAAATATCTGATGTTTTTTTTCTGTTACTTGTTAAGAATTTGTGAATTAAAAACTATGACGGGGGTTCAGTGTGAACATGTATTATTGATCTTAGAAATAGTAGTTTGACAAAGCTATGCCTTAACTCATGGGCTACTTCGTAGCTTTTAAAGAGAGCTTTTAACCACATGTCTATTTTTTAGTTGTCATGGAGATAGTTCAGTTGCTATAACAACTATAAACTGTTATCTGTTTTAGATGAGTGCAATGAAAAGCAGTGGAAAGCTCTGAGAAAAGCTACTATGTTGACCATGAAGTAAAAATAGGCAAACACATGACAAGGGATTTCATGTATGACACAGATGTGTTCGTTCATGCACTTGTTTGATGACATCACTGCCCTAATCTGTATATCATTCTTCGTTTAGAAACTCTTAAGCAGCAGTACATGAGGAGTCACCTTCTCAGGAAAGTGGAGGAATGAATGTGGGTGGAGGGAGGGGTGGGTGTGTGACAATAAGGATACTGTAATTACAAAAAGGGCCATGATCCTCAGTGGGCCCTTTGTTTGTAGAAGGGATTTTTACAGAAAATACAACAGGATACTTGAGTCCCTATTGGCAGTAAGGAAGCATTGTGATTGTATTGACTAATGGAATGTGCTGATCAAAACCAGGTTCTGCTCTGTGAGTGGTTCTCAGAGGGGGTCTTTCTCATTCTCCCTCCTCTCTCTCTCACTGTCTCTCTCCCCCTCTGACCTGTTTTCAACATTGTCATGTCTTCAGCAGCTCTTAGTATACAGACACAATCCAGTCGCCAGGGAGCAGAGCTGCGCTCATCTCTTTGGTAACCCTCGCTAAAACTTTCAAATATTTTGACTTCAGTTGATGTATATTATAAACAAAACCGGTCGTATTTTGGTGGGCCTGTCCATTATTTTAGCATATCAATAATAACGCTGTGCTCAACAAGTTATTTGCAGAGATCTGAGAACATGGTGCCGTCACTAAAAAGAAGTCCATTGGGCCAACAAAGAGATAAACAAACCCCAGGTTTACCAAACACACCCTGAGAAATTAAAGTTGAAGCGCCAACTATCAAAACTGTCTATTGCCGCCAAACTTTAAGGCAATAAAACTAAAGTAAACTCAGGAAGAATTATCTTGTAAGATAATTTAACTTAATTTCTCAAGTTAAACTGAGTTTGTGCAACTTTTTTTTGTTTTTAAACTGTCAATTCTTTATGAATTAAAGTAACCTTGTTACTTCATTGTAAATTAGAGTAATGTGTTATTTTAGACCCAAACAATTCAGAAATTTCACTTCTGTTTATGTACTCTTAAGTTACAATACCTTAAATCTGTGTGATGTATCCACTTGAAGTTCTACTTTACCTTCAGGACAGTTTTTGCTGTACAGTTAGTGATCACAAACATATTAATGACTACTGTGACTGACAGAAGAACATCAGAAGGTACAGGTAGTGTGTGCAGACTTACCTTCTTTGTTGACAGTGATGACAATTTGTGACTCATCATGTATTAAAAGACATATAACAACCTCAATCATTTAACTTTGTTGTATATGGGGGTGTAAAAGAATTTCTGGCATTTTAACCTTTAAACAATCCGTGCTGGGAACAATATGGTAATGTTTCTAAACGGTGTATGGTCGAGGTACTGGATCTGCTGGACATTTATACAACCGAACTCTTGATTTTACTCTGGGAAAGTGACAAAGCATCTAAACTTGAAAAGAACAAACACATCCCATTACATGTGAGTAATAACAAAGGAAAACATTATTAAATATAACCTCAAATATCTGCAAAGTAAGGATAAAGAAAACAGCAAGTGAAAAAGACTTTCTGTGTTCCCTGACAAAACAACACAAATTACCAGCGTTTTATGTTTACAATGAATCACGCATTAAGATCAAAGTTATCAAGAGTCACTTTTGCTGAAACCAGAAGCGAGAGATAATGTAGCATTCAAGACCTGACATATTGCTATTTAGGAATATAAGTTGCTGTTTTTAACGTGTACAATTCAGGACACTTGGTCATGTCCTCTATTATGCTTAGGGATGGATTTATGCAATTCAACACAAAGCATAGTTGAATGAAAGTAATTCAGTCTTTCTTAACCAGTACAAAACATGGATCAGTGTTGGACTACAGAACTAATTTGTTTTTTTCATAACAATAACATACTCTAGAAGTTTTTTTTTGTTTTTTTTTTTAATTATGTCATATGATATTGTAGTGTGCTTTCTATTAACCGAGTACAAGAATAAAAACACATGCACTGCTCTGCGTGCATTAAAATACATGTGGTGAAAACATTACTTAAGTCAGTTTTATTTATATTAGCCCTAAATCACACATTTGGGCTATATGATTTGTATAGCACACTGTTCCACGATGAAATCCCTGTCATTTGTAATGTTTTGAAGGAAAAAAGCTTTCCATATTTTTTATTTTTCACAGTATTATTCCCTGTAGTTCGTTATCAGGACCTAGAGGTTTTGAGCCAATCTGCTTCGCTTCAGAAAGATTAGGTCATACGTTATCTTTAGCTTCACCTTTGCACAACCTCTTCCTGTTACATTTAGGTACAGTGTAGGCAATCTTGCAGGATAGTTACTTACTCGTCCAGCTCAACTGATCAAGACCTGCAGGTGGCAACTACGTGACAATAAATGAGCAGCAATAACAAGAAAGTCTTGGATTGTAGTAGTGCAAATAGTATCAGCGTCTGCAGCCATAAAACATTCAATCCTACCAACCATTTATAAACTATCCCCTCATGCGACCCCGACCTTCAACATCAACATTCAGCAAAAAGAAATGTAAACATTTTTGATTCATTAAAACAAAAATTGTACTTGTATAATATTATTTTTTATAGAGATTGTTTCTTTCTGTTTCACTTTTAATTTCAGTAGGTTCACTTTCCATGAACTGTATTATAATGTCCATAATTAGCTAATTTTTATTTTTATTTTACTCTGACCACATAGGTTCCCTGTAACCACAATGTTGGTGTGGGTCAGTCCATACTTATCCACATTAATGCGATTACTCTCCTGGCCTGAAACAGGAACATATCAATCAAGAGCTCTACCTTGTGGCCTGAGGACTGTACTACGAAGCAAGTTTGAGATAGCCAAGGTTTCTTTATGTAAGCCGGCTCAACAAAACATAGAACCCTGGTCTGAGATAATGGGTATCAAAACTGTTATCAGCTTTCTGTATTAACCCAAGTTTTCTTCTTCAGACCTTGTGTGTGTTGACATAAAAGAGGGTGTTTTATACGTCATGTTACTATTCTTCTGCACAAAATGAACCAGTTGTGTGCCACCCATTTTAGTCAACAGGAACAGGGTATTAGAGCTATGATGAATATAGGTCCTCTCTATAGCTGACATGTATGGCTCCTCTAAGGAGTGAATCTGTGATGTTATAAAGCTTCTTAAACCTATAAGCCCTCGGCTGCTTTCAGGGTAATTTTAATACCTTCGCAGCTATTATCTTCGTCGCCCTAAGGGCTAGTCATATATGCTAATATCTTGTTTATTCAGAACAGTCTAGGCTATCTAGATCTCATATTATTTATTATAACTGTGGCACATTTTTATATTAGACTCAATATGAAGGAAACAAAATATTATGCATTGTGAATTTTGATTTATTTATTTTTTTCTGACATATGCCTCACCACAAAATTCTGGCAGTAAATATGTATTAACTGTGTGGAAGAGATAATCTGGAATCCAGCAATATTAGAATCATGAGAGACTAGAATCAATCAATAGTGACATAATGCACGACTCAGAAACTGTGAAAATTATGTACTTAGAGTCCAATGGAAATAAATTTCATTGTATTCACTGCAGTGTTCACATACAGCATCCTACTTGTAATGATGGAAAATCAGGCTAATTTTTGTCCCTCCCCAAAAAAGGGCCCCTCATTGGCTACTGTGCCTTGGGCCCCCCAGGGGCTTGGATCACCACAGTCTCATTGTGCGTGTATCTTTTGACTAAAACTTTTGGATCATTGTAAAAAAAAAAATAATAATAAATTAAATTTAAAAATCCATAGTTTCAAACTTTTCATTAAAACAACGTCACATGGAGAACTGCATCCCAGGAATCACTACCTTAAGAACTTCAAATGTGGTGTTGAAAAACTAACAACACAAACAGATTTGTTGCTGATGAGACAAATTCACAATCAAATGATCTTAAATAAAAATAAACAGGAACTGAAGGTACTAGATGGGGAAAAAAAGATTAATGAACTATATCAAACAAGGAGGATTAAAAGATTACAACTGAAAGATCTTAATATAGCATTTAAAATCCAAAGTATGTTTAAGAATTTTTACAAAAATTGATCCAACACAACCTGGATAATACAAAACTTGGCTTGGAGCGCTTAAGGAAAGGCATACTACAGTGAGTGCCCAGGAGTGCTACCGTTTACTTACTCACACAGCAAAATGATGCAAACTACACTCCACTTATATGCATGAGGTGTAGGGACCTCACCATGGGCTGTTAGCGTCCCCTCAAAATAGCAGCCTGCTTCACTGAAACATGCTAAATTCTTAGGTGAAGTATCAATTAAACCATCCAGCTGCCCAGGGAGACAAAATGATCATTTCAACTCCAATATATATCAATATCTATCTATATATCTATCTATCTCCAATTATGTTTTAAGAACAGTTTCAGCTTGACTATCTCTGATTTGACTGGAATGGTTTGTGAAATTTAAGCTTGATATGTCACACCCTTTCCCAGAAAAAAAAAAAACAACAAAAAAATCTATCCGCTCACTCTAAGCATGTTGTTTTTCATGAATTGATATTTAAGGCTATTTGTGGATGATAATATCTTGGAAACTATTCAAAACAAAAGCCACAGAACACAGTTGCAGCAGTAATCAGGTATGGAGCCAACCATTATTTCAGAAATGAGACCTGCAGGGGCTGTCTTTCTAAAATGATGTCTCAAACAGTGCACTACTAGCCCCCAATCTGGCTCTGAAAAACAGGAAGGCAAGTGCTTTAGACTTGGCTCGGGGGTTAATAGACAATCAGTATTTCCATGACAGCTCAGTGCAAAGCTCAGTGCAATAGCATCAACCTCTATGGATGGATTCAAAGAAAAGAAAAGAAAAGAAAAGACTTGTTTTCTCTTCAGCACAACACAGCAAGATGAAACTTTCCTAAAGCACATGACTGGAAGCTGGATCAATACTGGGAGCACATTCTTTTGTCAGATGAGACCAAGATGAATTTGTTTGTCTCAGATGGCATCCACCATGTTTGGCATGAACCTGATCAGGACAACCACAATGTATGTATAGTCTGGAAGTGAGGCATTTAGGTGGGAATGTTATAATATGGGGCAGCACGAGTGCAAAATAGATTACATTTATAGATAGCACCACGAACACCAGTGGATATAACAAAAATATTGGATAACAAGATGAATTCCGGTCTGCAGAAGCTTGGCAGAGGTGGAATTTTCCAGCACGATGACTTTGAAAGCACACTGCTTCAGTCACACAACAGTTTCTGAAGAACAATAAAATGAAATATATGACTTAGCCAGGTATGGTGCCTGACTTAAATCCAATACAACCTTTAGGGTATTTTAAAGAGAAAGGCAAACCAGCATAACCCTTAGAGCAAGAGCTGGTGGAAAAAAATTCTCTGCAGAACGACAGAAAATTCCTCTATGCTGACTAAGATTAAGTCTTACACTGAAAAATAAAGGTCTCAGCAATAAAAGGTCTACTGACTTAGGTTTTTTTGTTACATTTTTTGTTAAATTTTATTTTACATAAGAGCATTACTCCACAGTTCAATTTAGAAAGAAAAATGCAATCAGGGGACACATTTGAAAATAAATTGACATTCAAATGATATTATGCACTTTAAGTGTCTCAACATGTGGCCAGTGGCCTTCATCTTTGCATTGACACTGGGGAAATATTTTACTTACCAACTTTGTCTGAGATGCATAAATAAAGATTGCGTCCGTATTACACTGTGAAATCGTTTCATAATTTCAAAAAAGGTGCAAAAGAAGATACTTCATAGCAGATTAGAATTAGATTACTTTGGGTCTAAAGTTTATCACTCTCAGATCTGTTTGACTACAAAAACACTTCCACTGTTCATGGTCGACGTCAGCACCAGGGAAACAATATCCACTTGTGGGTTCATATCCTCTGTCTCCACCTGCTTTTTATCTTGATGTTACGCAACAAAGACAAGCCATCAGCAGAGGAATAGTCTTATAATCCAAAATGAGTGTGCACCTGCTGCTGAGATTCATGAACATTCTCTCCATCCTCAGCCTCTCTCTCTGACTGGACATTACTGATTCTCTTTCATGAATCAAAAGCAAAGAAATATTAAACCCTTCAACATGTCAGTTAGCTCCCTGATGTCTTTAGTTTCGCTTCAGCTTTTTCTGCAGTTCCAAAAACAAATCAACTGTCATAAATTAAATAAATGACTGTAGAATAATGAGGTGTGTGCACT